CGGAGGACTGTCTCCCGTGGGAGGGACCCCATGCTGGAGCAGAGGAAGAGTGTGAGGAGTCTTCCCCGTGAGGAAGAAGGAGACGCAGAGACAACGTGTGATGAACTGACCCCAACCTCCATTCCCCGTCCCTCTGCGCCACTCGGGGAAGAGGTAGAGAATTCGGGAGTGAAGCTGAGCCTGGGAAGAAGGGAGGGGTGGGGGACGGTGTTTTTAAGATTTGTTTTTATTTCTCATTATCTTACTCTGATTTGATTGATAATAAACTAAACTAATTTCCCCAAGTCGAGTCTGTTCTGCCCGTGACAGTAATTAGTGAATGATCTCTCCCTGTCCTTATCTTGACCCACGAGCCTTTTGTTATATTTTCTCTCCCGTGTCCAGCTAAGGAGGGGAATGGTAGAGCAGCTTGGTGAGCACCTGGCGTCCAGCCAGGGTCGACCCACCACACTAAGTTAGTACTATCATCTGCCTTGTCTTTACTGAATGTCTTGCAACCCTTTCCTTAATTTATCCAGATGACCAAATTAGGCTACAGTAGGGAAATTGTTGGACTCAATATGAAGAAACATTGTCATAGCTCCTGCCATAGCTTTCAGGGGAGTTCAGTCCTAGGAGGAAGAAGCAGAACTTTGATCGAAGGTAGGTGAGGCAAGGACAGAAAGAGTATTAAAGGTTTCCCAGGACTGCCTTTTTCTGTTTCTCATCCAGTAGTTTATAAAACTCCAGAAATCAACTGCAGTGCATAACCGACATTCTTTTCCCTTTCCATACTGGAATCGTATGCTAAATTACCCATGTGGTTTGGGTGCTCTGGATTTCTGGATTACCCCAGCTACTCTCAAAGCCCTTCTGTCTTCAGTGTCAAATCCACCGCCTTGACAAATATATGGTTAACCTTTTTTCTATTCCTGGCCTTCGTGCAGTATCTTGAGAAATAATAATCTGTTCTTCAGTGTAACCATGTCTAAGATACCCATGGCCCTATACTCCTTTTTAAGCAAGTCTCAATGACTCCAATTTGAAGATGAATTTTTCTTTTACAGGAACACTTTCACTATTTGTTACAGACAACATTATAATAGGAATTTTTTTCTGAATTACACCTCATATTACCTAAGTATATATTAAAACCAGTTACCCGGTAATTATATTTTAAACAACATTGAATTCTTTCTATGAAGGAAGCTGCACAACTACTGAAAAGTAATTATAGTTACTGCTAACTTGATTTTAATTTAGATCTTATTGAAATCAACCTGATTTGTTGTGTAATCAAGGGAAAAATTTTCAGATTTTCTCATAACTATTTTTGTGCTGCAAAACCATTCTAAGAAATTTCTGCAAAAACCTACAGCAGTCTTAAAGTAATATCTACTTTCAAGAGTGAATTTATAGTAATTCATGTCTGGAGTATAACATAATTGCTTTATTCAAAATGCAGTTTTGCTATTCATTTCAGTGGCAGAATAAAATAACCTTTAAACAGCCCTTCTGACAAGACATTGCAATATTTTATCTGGAATGCAGGCAGAAGTGCAAAACTTGTGGAATGAAAACTTGGTTATTCTGGATACAGCAAAAAATTTCGGCTATGAAGTTGTTGACACCTTTGTCATCACCATGGGACGTTACAAAGAATTCCTGCAAGGGAAGTGTGGCTGCCATTTCCATGAGGTAATAGTTTATGCTTATATCATTCCCAGATATTTAAGAGAGATTTTAACTGTCAGGTGCTTAAAAACAAAAAGGTGTGCAATGAGGTTCGCACCCGTGACTCAAAGTTAGGCCTGAATAAAAACCGCGGAGATAGCAGTTTGTGTGGCGGCACTTGCCCCTGGCCGCTCAGAGTGCAACGCTGCCCGAGGACAGGGTGAACCGCTGTAGTGGCGATTTCTTGAAATAAAACCAAGCATGCTTTTCTGCAAAGGTAACCTGTATAAAAGGTTTTTGCACAGTTTCCAGGTTCTTATATTATTTGCTATGTGTTATATATCCCAACTGCTTCTGCATGAACTCCATCTTTTTGCCATGCCTCAGTCTCACGGGTTTTTTTCTTAAGCCTTCCTAACTGAGCAGGACAGCAGACTCCCATCAAACCACAGGTACATTTAAAATGGAGCTTAAAACTGAAAGACCAATCTTACTGCTGTATATCTATTTTCATATGTCTGAGAAAGACTTATCTGGGATAGTTATAGTGACTGACTATACAAACAGAAATCTCATGTCCACAGTTCTGTTTTCTTTTTTGTCTGAAATCTATAAAAATTCTGTCCTCTGTTTTATAACTACTGGACTGGTGAAACAGGGACATGGTAAAAATATATGAGTAGGGCAATTGAGAACATATTCTTCTGTTCATTCAAAGTTCTGGCAAGGAATCTTCAGAATATATTACAAATGACAGGAGTCCATGGATTAAATGAAAAACGAATAAGCAAACACATTATTATATCTAGGCATAAAATCAGTCCAGAGGCTGCCAAACCAGTGAAAGTAAAGAGTTTGAAAAACAAGATATTTAAAGTTTTTCTGGTTTCCTTTAAGATGTATTTTGAGTATGTGGTATGTCTTTTTATAGTGAGTGCTCTTCCCCATCAGCAAAGGAGGGATCTGTTTTAGTTTTGGATTTCTTGTACCTTATGTATAACAAATGAAGAAGTGCACCCCTGGTTTAGTGCAGGTGACCCTCCGTGAAAACAGAGAGTATAATTTTTGAATAGTCAAGCAAGCAGGTACCCTCTGCCATAAGGCTGATGACAGTAATTTTGCATATGACAGTTAAAGAAGTGTCACCAAGGCCACCAGACTATTCCTGTAGCTTCCAACCAAGTCCTTCCTCGTACCCATGACACCAACTTGTTGATATAAAAGGCCAGTTCCCAGGTTCCTGTTATGAGTGGTCAGTCTGCTGAGAATCTGAACACATCGTTCGTTGCCCTAATGAAGACCCATGAATATTACATTACTCCTTTTGGAAACCAGAAAAAGCTTTGGGGACTAAAGGAGACTCACATTTTTCCATATGCTTAGCTCCTGATTCCCATAAAAATATTTCTTCAGTGAAAACTGGAATCATGCACTCAGAGATCTAGATCTAAGGACAGACAAGCCTTCTGTACTGCTATAGAAAAAGTCATGTTTAGCACAGTAAGACATTGCCTGTGATGCTACAAGGATCTTCATTCTTATGAACTGAATCTGGGTTGTCTGTTTAACAAAAGACTAGGAAGCTACCTATTCCATTCCATTTATTCCATTAAAATCTGTTTAGGACCATAAAACTTGAACTGTCATATCTTTCAGGAAAATTGCATTTCCTCTGCATGATCAAAAGAGAGATGACAGGTGCAAGTTCTTTCACAGAATGAAATATAGAATGAGAAGAAATTGTTACCAAAAAGTTAAAACTGGAGGGAAAAAAGGATGCAACAAAAGATGTCTCTTTTAAACCAAGGGTTAATGAATTCATGGTGTTTCACAGTCAGCTGGGGGCTTTGAGCCAGTAAGAAGCTACTAGTTGGAAGAAATCTCAGGAGTTTGGTTACTGACTAGAGTAATGACACAAGCAATTTGATGTGTCATTTAGAAGACAAAACTCCACAAATTACTTCTTATGGAGAAAATCCTAGAAGTTTTTTTATTAGAGTTATCAAAAGTGCATAAATATTAAAAAAAACCTGTCACCCACACAGGTGAAATGCTAACATTTTTCCACCATGAATTTAGGAATTTGTTTTCTGTCAAAACAAATTACTTCAAGTAAGAGAGACCACGAAATGTTTTCTGAATCTCTCAAGAGAAAGATAAAACCCCCTTGCTTATTTTGCCAAGTCATGCCTATTTTTCTGTAAGCCTCACTCTTGGCCAAGCCTGTTCCCAGGACCTGGATGTGTGCAGGGTTAGTACAGAAGCTCTGTAGAGCTTCACAGGTACAAAGGTGGGCCGTGACACCAGGAATGAAGTGGAAGCACTAATTTTTGCTGTGAAGAAATGTCAGGAGAGCTGTGATATATTTTCCTTAAAGATCAAAAAAAAGCAAAGATCTAAAAATAAGGTTTTCTTCATCAGACACCCACAGTATACACTGGAAAACAAAATATACTGTGGCTAATTAAACCTAGGAGTAGTTTAAACAACAAACTGAAATTCAGTGGTGATGATAGTAAAATTCAAGCATAGGCTCCGGAGTGTCCTTGCGGTGTCTGCTGGCCAAGGACTAGCGTAGCAAGCCTAACTATTTTCTTGTAGCCAGTGGATTATATTTAATTCTCTCAGTCACAGCAGTCACCTTCACATAAAGCAGAATAAAAAAATTAATAACTATAAGGCTTTAATTTTTCTCCTTAAATATCACAGACAGAGATATAACGTCAGAGACAGTCTACCGGACAACAAATGTGTTCCCAAAAGAGTGGGGGGGGGCAAACAAAAGTGGGGGGGGGGGGCACCCAGCTGCCACTGGCTGGGGCTCTGTTCCAGTATGAGGCTCACTGGGACTGAGCACAGGTTTGGGAGCGTTACCAGACCCGTCTGACCTCACGTGCTGTGTGTCAACCTCACAGTTGGTTTCCACCTCAGGCTCCTCAGTAGCTCACGTGTTTTCAGCCCATTGCCGTGGCCTCCGTCCTGCTTTGGGACCAAACACAGCAGGCGTGGTTAGTTAACCAATCCTTTAATCTGCTCTGCTCAGTCTGTGAGAGAAGCATAACACAGCTCAGTCCAAATGGAGCTGGAAAAGAGGGAGTAAGTCACTGAGCAGATATTTATGTGATGGATAAATAGTCCCATGGAGTAAATGCCTCCCTCCATTTCACCCAGACGGCTATTTTGACCCTTTTTTGTCTAGAACCCAGATGTTGATGTCTTCATGGGTCATCGCTGATGCTCGCTGTTTGAGTGAAACGGAGCTTTTGAGTGAAAAGCAGAGCTTCAAAGTGAAATATTTCACATGCTTTGTATGGAACTGGGTGGAAAACAGCAGGGCGTGATCGGTCATCAGCATTTTTCATGTACTCCTCCATCATTTTGTACGAGCTCATGTGCAGATTTGGCCTTGCTTCCCTGCTAGAGGAATCTCAGCAGAGAGTATGTGTTTCTGGGGAGGATCAGGGGAGAATTTGGCTCATGGAGCTGTTGTTAACGAGGCTTGAGCAGCCATTGTGCCTGAAAGAGGCATAGATGTGCCCAGGAGAATCCATCAGCACCCAAAAACCAGACTTGACCCTTCAGGAAAGCAAAAAGAAAGTCCTTGAATGCTTTTGATACCTCGTTAGTTTTAACAGTTTTGTCATCAGTTTATTTCTGCATCCTGGCAAATGGAGTTTCATCAGGTGCTGAAGCAGTTTGCACTAGGAAAATGGCATTTTGCCTCCAAGGACAGAGCCAAGAACACTGTATAAAACCCCAGCACTTTTCATGTTTTATGAAACCAGATGAGATGGATTAAATCTACTGCTTTATACTTTCACTTTCTTTCTCTTAAAAAATGACCTCCTAAACCCCCAGAAGACGACACCCCTCTGTAAATGCCATCTGAGCTAACGCATGGCCGTGCGGGAATGGAGGGCTGGCCATTCTCTGCAGTCAGAAAACAAGAACTGAAATGCGTTCAGCAGTTCTCATTTCATTCTCACTAGCTGGCCAAATGGAAATTGTCCTGATAAATTATTTGAGTTCCCACCAACCCACTTCAGAGGGCCTCGGATCACCCTGATAGCATAGAAATCCGCAGCTCTGTAGACCCTGCAATCTTTGCTCAGATTGCCGAGGGATCTGGACTCACAAAGGTTTTATATCATTCTGGGACAAAAAATCTTGCATAACTCTGGCGCTTTCTGCCCAAACATACTTCTAGTTCTATGCACACATGCAAACCTGATTTTTTAATTACCTCATTCTTCACAAATGCTTATGGAGAAGTAGATTGGCCAGCAGTTATAAAGACCTTTATGGAACCTATTTTTTTATTCAGATTTATTTCCTAATGTAATGGCAATGAAATCATGGTCACAACATAAAAACTAGCAACCTTGGGATTTTGGTATCTTAATCAGTGGCTGGCTGCTGGATGAATATTAGATTGCATTCCTGGGAGATTATGCCTAACAGGAATGCAGTTTGGGTGATTGGTTCAAGGTGGCATCGTTTTGAAATAGTTGTAAGATCTAAGGCACTAATTTAGAAAAATGAACCTGCAGTAACTGCATGAAAACAAATAACAGCCCTTGGCTTAGCTGTATCAAATTGATCAGAGGATATATTCATTTTCTACATGGATAATTTCTGGTCTTTTTTTAGTTCAGCTCCCTCATAGCCTCTCTGCCCAGTCTTTCAAGTCTTTGCACAGTTATTCCTTCACTCATATTTAATTTTGTATGAGTTGTTTCATTAATTGTGAGCTTCACTACATATGAACATTGTTTCTGATTGTTCAGTGACAGTAAATATACATTATATTTTTAAAAAGCTAATATGCTCTGCATAAATATATGCATTAATAAATGAAGCCTGCTTTTTCAAGTGTCTGCTGTGACTGATATAGCAGGAAAATTGACGGGCATCAGAGCTATCAAGTCAGCATATATTTAGTCTTTTAAAAATAAGTTAACCACTTGGCCCTTCTCTGCTTTCTCTGGATTTGCCAACGCCTGGGTCGGGGTCCTCTGTCCTGCATCTGCAAGGTTCTGAAGTTTTGTCTCTCTTGAAGTTGCTTCATTATTCATCAGTGACTGTGTGTTCACTGAGACGAGACCTTTAGCATCTCACAGGGGACCACCCCCCCAAGTCATTAGGCTCCTGACAACCATACCTTTCACTTTCTCTATCGGTAGTCCCATGGGCATTTGTTTATTCCATACAAATTGAACATGTAATCCCAGAGCTTTATACATATTTGGGGGGCCAAGGAGGAGCATTCTTCTGCACTAAGTTACTGAACCACATTGTGGTTATGGTCAGTGTGATGCCCCAGGGAGAAGGATGTTAAATTGCACCGTAACTCCTTTCTTGGAGAAACATGACACATGAGTGTTTTCATCTCAACATAGAGCTGGGCCAGGTTTGCATCAAGACCTGAGAGTGAGACAGTCTCGCAGGGCTCACAGCTGAGACACAGCATATGTTCCTCAAGTGCTTGGGATCAGAGCAGGATTTAAACCTTCCTGCAAGTCAGGGCTGTCCTGAGTTTATTTTTTCCCATGGTAAATACACAGACAAGCTGTTAAGTATGAATTTTGTTGTTCAGATAAATTGTCCCTAATGAAGAGAACAGAGTCTAATATACAAAGGCATTACAGAATCAACCAACTGAGTATAATTGGCCTATACATTTAGATTTCAAGGCTTTCTTGCACTTTAATGAGTATGTAACATAACAAGTTGGCCCACTAAAATACTGTTTGTGAGCAACTTGCAGCTCAAGGTAAGAGTATCAGGACCTGCTTTGTGGACAACTGTCTCAGCATTTCTGTATACACAGCTGTGTATCTTTCTAGGTGCACTCACATATGTCACTTCTTTTGCAGGTGGTGAAATCCAATCCCTCTGAAGAAAGTTCGCACATAACAATGACGTTATCAAGGCATTATACACTGGGGAAATATTTCGGCAGTCAAAGCAAGCCATCACAACTGCAGGACTATGCAACAAATTCCCAGTCCCCATATCATGTCCGAGGTCCAATAAATCAAGTTTATTCTGAAATCCTTCTCAGCAGGCTCTGTGCAAGTAAGAGGGAGCTTGTCAGCACATAGCCTCTGTTGGCTATAACACTGGGACTAGAGACATGCCACTACCTGAGTGACAATTGAAGGACCATGGTGAATTTATGACATGCTTCCTTGGTTGGCTGCACACACACCAACAGAGTTTGGGACATGTGGCATTTTTCCTAAAACTTTATGAAACCAAGATATGCCCTGGCAACTCTGCGGTGTCAAAATGGAAGATGGAGGGTTGCAAAGGAGAGAAGAGGGGAAGTTACTTGAACTGTTGCCAAAGGCTAGAACAGCTGTAGCTCAAGCAACTGTGTATTAATGATAGGAAAGAGAGAGAAATATATACACTTGAATTATTTGGAAGGACTGCTTTAGCTCTTCAGCACTATCTAGTTTTCTATTTATAGAGACACTGTAATATTTGAATGTATTTAGAAACTGGCTACATTCCATGTTAAAGAGTTTTATTTTATGTGGATGGGTTCCCCTTCAATATCAAACCTTTTCTATTTAGACACTTGGTTTATACAATTTGAAAATGTCTATTAGCATTTTACTGATGATGCCAAGTTTTGAACTCTAAAGTTTTTAGTGAAAACACACTGCTCCTTTGTATCTTAGATGGAACAGATGTCTACTCTATTTTTTGCATGTTCTAAAGCTAATACAGAGATAGATTACTTAGACTTGAGACTGATTATAACTGTCTCAATGTAACATGTAAACATAGTGAATATGTTAACATAAACTTATTTATGGTCCCAGTGTAGGAGAGTGGCCATGTGCAGGAAGACTGCTTAGATATGTGTTTCAGTGTCTACCTTGGCCTGTAAGCCAAGCAAGTATTCTCCCTGCATGGAAGTGTCATTTCTTTTATGATTTTTTATAAAATACTTGCCTATGTGTGAAGCCAGTACCACAAACTGAAGAAAAATCCCTTTTGCCAGCACACATAAGAACTTCGGGATCTGGTTTTTAATCTGTCATGAGGAGCATGTAATGTGATGGGAGCAGAATATATTGCCTGCATCTCATGCTTGGCAGCGACAAGACCTTCTCTGAACGCCAGTTCCATGCTGTAGCCCAGCTACATCACCGGTTTGCAGACCTGCTCTGGGTGAAACCCCAGGGAGAGGCTTTACCACCGCAGGGGGGAACTGTCTGCTGATCCCCTGCCACAGCGTTGGCAGCACACTCATTCGCAGTTGTGGTGCCCTGATGGGAAACCAAGCATGGTCCAGGCTTAGCAGCTGGGTGATGGGTTAATGGCACCCCATAAGACTGCTCTCCCTACAGATTATCCAGTTATGGATTTTTGTGAATCCAGTCATGGAGCAGGCAATCAAGCCATTACTCTCTCCCACCATGCACTAGAGAAGGGAGTCAGAACCAGGTAAGTACGAGTCTAACAAAAGATCTGCCGAGCTCTGTTGTATGCTTCCTGCTTCACAATTTTACTGCTTCTACTGCCTTTGGGAAAGGAAGCCGCAAGCAATGTTAGGGAATAAACAAATTACAGCACAGAACTAATCACCATCTTATTGGCCTTAGTAGCACACAGAGGGGCTGCCCAATGTAGAAGTAGGGCTAGAAGTTCATGACACTGCATTTAGGATTTGCCAAAGATCCTTAAACTCAACACAGTCTGTATCCCCAACTAAAGTATTGTGAATTCTTGCTCCTTCAGGTAAGATATGTAGAGATACGATGGGAAATTGTCATGCAATATGGAGCTTGTCTTCCCTAGATGATAGGAGGATCCTCAAAAAGAGGATCTGGCGTATCTAATTCAGCAGACCTTCCACTATATTGACAAAGCTCCTAATTTAGACAATGACATTACATTTAGTGAGACAGTGTGATTGTCTCTGTTTCTGTATAATATGCTGCTGCTGTGCTTACAGTAAATGTCCCTGAATTTCTATGTAAGGTTTTCCCTGGCATGGAGCTTTACATGAAAGACAGGTCAGGAGCTGTGCATAAATACTGAAAATGTCATTTGGTTTTGAGCAATATGATTATGTAAGGAATATAATTGTATGCAAATGATATAATATATAATCTTGGGTCTGGAACTCCAGGGCTGCACAACCTTAAAGCTGAAGGATTTAATATCATGTCATTAATATTAGTAAATGCAAAATGCAGCCAGATGTCTTTGGTATTAAGATGATCAATGATAGGTGTATTACAATTCTGCTTCTGTTAAGTTTTTTTTTTGTAGCTCATTTAAATCCACATGCTGTTACTGTTACCGTTCTGTACACAAATGTTTTTAAGGCATGAACTGGGTTCTTATGTTTGTTTTTTTAATCAAAGCCTATTGCTGAAGCATCAGCTATATTGATGAAAAGGAAAGCGCTGACTTTGTCATACTGTAGCTGATATCAGCACATGTGCAATTCATCACTTCTGGTCTCACCACAAAATGGTTTACATGTGCTGTACACCCAGATGTCTTAATGTTTTCCAAATCTTACTATTTTTTAAATGTATCAAGTGGAAATTTTCCTGTGTGTTTTCTATTTTTTACATGTCTATGTACATATATATGTCTGTACAAAGTCATTGGTACAATTTGCAAAATGATCCTTATTTAAACGAGTTCTTTTAGTAAGTTTTTTCCAATACTATATATGATCCATGTAATCTTAGGAATAAACAAAAGGAATGCAGACTAAAACAGGTACCAAGGTATGTTTTCCATTATTTAACTTTAAAATATATCTAGCATCTCTAGGTATGTGAAAAAAGAGAGTTCAGATTGACATGTAAGCATCGCTTACTCATGCACATTAAAATTTGCAGATTAAGACAATAAAAGAATTACCATGTTTGAATTCCAGAGAAAGGACATCTGTTGCTATCAATGGTTTACTCTAGAATTATCACATCTGCTGTGACATTTTGCCTGAATAAGCATTAAAGTGCTCCTACTATATTAAGACTGAGTCATAATGTAGGATTTTTCCCCCCATATATTTACCTTAGTCCCATTACTTACCATTAAAATAACAAAGGACCTAACTGTCAAGGTGAGTTCCACTTCCTGATGCAGACGTGAATGGCCCTGGAATTGGTGGTAGGATTGAAATAATCAGGCTGGGGACAAGTACACCAAGAAGTGGTGTTTTCTGCTCAACATCTGCCCAGCAGCACGTGGAGTTTAGAGTGGAACTTTAAGCTACAGGTAGAGAGACTGGAACTGTGCTGCAGAAAAAAAATACTCTGACACATAGAGCAGTAATCTCAGCTATTATTGCATCCCTTTAAACTTTAGCTGAAGCTGCAGTATGAATTGCAGTGTCCAATGAGTTATAACTCCTCATCTCTCATATAAATCCATAGATGTTGAACAGTGATTTGGGTTTGAGCCTTGCAGGGTAGATGGCCGTTCACGGATATAATCTTGTACGTGAAGGAGGAGATGAAGAAAAACAACATCTCAGAACAGACTGTGGTAGTCATAATCTGGTCAAGTGTAATGAGCACGGTGGAATGGAACAAAAAGGAGGAGCTGGTAGCAGAGCAAGCCATTAAGCACTTGAAGTAATACAGCCCTCTACTTGCTGCCTTTACTATCGATCAAGTCCATCTCAGTGAGTATCTTTGGAAAAACTGGCTATAATAAAAAAGATTTCCTTATTTAAGTAGGGAAATGCCTTGACAAGTCAGCTCTGTCATCGGAGATGCTATATTTCAAATATAGCAAGGAGCTGAAAGAATGGACTATGAATACTATTTTTATGCTTAGTATTCATTTGAAAATGTTAATATTTAGAATAATCTCTTTCATACCGTTAAATATAAGGCTTTTATTTTTCTGTTCTGTGACATACTAAAGGGACATCAAAGTCAATTTATTTGCTTAGTGGGTGGGGTAGTGGGGCATCCAATTACCTCAAGGCTGAAAAAAACACTAATAGTTATGCTTCTGTTGCTATGCTGAGCCAAAGAGAATGCTTTGAAGATGCAGATATGTGTGATATTAAGTTGACTGCAGTCCAGGGATCTTTCAGATTACTTTTTTAGAGGAAAGCAATTTTTTAGAGGTGCAGTGAGCTATTTGGCATAGAGTCAAACTGCTAAACAAGCCTCTGTAGGCTCACATGAAAAATACAGTCTTACCTTTTTGTTTGCCTGCTAGCCTTGCATCTGGCTTGTTTTACCTCATTGTTATGACTATCTGTACCTGCTCTACTCCACATCAGTCTTTCTTCCAGATGACCTGAGAAGTTTCTGTTCCATCATAGAAGAAATTTCTGGAAATCTGAGAGATGATTGTTGCAAATTCAGGCTGAATCTTCAAAATATCAATGTTTTTGTCAATTCCAACAGCAAAAGATCTACTCAGTGCAGCAGGGATAGAGCAAGCCTCTTCTCTAGGGCAGTGATTTTCTCTGATGAATTTGAAACAGCTGTGTTGTGGTAAGTACTTAGTGTGCACTAGCACTTAGCTCTTCATGGAGCCTGCCTTCACCGAGCCAAACCCCATCTTTCAAACTCCACTGCCATCTTTACCTGTGTAAATCTTCAGAACACTAGAACAGTCAGTGTATAATGCAGGCATACCTATATATTGATGCTGGTACATATCCTGCAGTATTTACTGGTACCTTCACACTATCCATTGAACGGAAAATCCCTCACTATACAGTAAAAAGATGCTGTGCATTTTAGCCTTACTCGCATGTGGTTTGGTGATAGTAAAAATAGTGTTACATGTGTCAGTCTAGGCCAGTAGCTAGAGCCAAGTGCCCTAGAAAACTGCTCAAGTCATTAACTTGAATGGGCGAGATGGGCCCATAGGGTCACAACGGGGACTCCTGCAGCACCAGTTTCTATTGCGATGGACTTGTCCCTTTTCTAGGTTCATTCATCTGGCTGCTTGGCTAGCTCCCCAGCAGCTGTGGGCAGCCCTTCCTGCAATCCCTTAAACATGTTCAACAGCCTTGGCAAGGTACACCACGTTAAGTAGCCCTGAACTGAAGATAAAGTGTATGTTTAAATGAAATCTGAACTTGTGAAACACAGCACCTACTCAGCATCTCCTTGATTTCCTCTAGAATTGAACTGCTCTAACGAGGAGCAGAATTCAGTCCCTTTCAGCTGAATCTCAGATAACAGGGTCTTTTCTCAACTTTCGACAAACTTTCTTCCCACTGCTTGCTTGCATGAAATAAAGGGAGGGATCTTCTCTGCAGGCTCCCGCCTAACAGAGTGGGATGGGCTGCGTTCGCACACAGTCGCTGCAGCAGGCCTTTCCCTCATACACCTCATTATAGGGACAAAGTTCCCACGGCAGATGGTGTTTTCAATGTTGTGATTTTTTACGTGTCTTGAGCAGTGAGAGGCAATGCGGTTAAAACAGCCAGTGCCCGGCGCAGTGCCTGCCAGCGCCGCCTGCCCCGGTGCTGCTCTTGGGATGCCAGGGAGATTCCGGGTGAAGACAAGACTGCAGAACTAAAATTCTTGAGTGAAGAATCAAAATGCCTCAGACGCCTTTTGGCGAAGTCAGGGCAGTTACGAAGTGCTCGCTACAGATCAAGCAGGCAAAATGAAAGTTGTCAGGAGCCCTTTAAAGTCAGTAAATTCTGTGGGATATTGCCAGGGTTTGAAGACCAGATCTGTATTTGGCAGAGTTTCTCACTTGCCATGTTCTGAAAACGTCTTTTATCTTTTCTTTTGTACTCGTCATGATCAACTTCCATATTTCCATTATGATTCTCTGGGATTAAGGAGCTTAAAGTAATATTTCTGCTCTGCCTGATAATGACTGTGCAGCCTCCCCAGATGGTAGTCAAATTGTCTTATAGATCAGAGAAGTTTTATTATTTCTGCCAGGTTTTCTTCCTTTACTTCCACATGCCATCTCCAAAGATTCTGTGTATTTACAATTAATCATCAGCGGTTTTAGTTAAAATAGCTTTAATGCCTCCAACATATTCAAAGAAACCTGCTGATCCCTTTTTATCCTAATAGGACTGAAAACACTTTAAACTTTGAAAACCTGACCTTGCAAGTCATTAGACAATGCAGCACCCAGCATGACCTAGCCCACAACTGGCTTCCTTTAAAATAATTAGAGTCACATCTTCAGATATAATAATGTGATGTTGTCTCTTACTAAAGCTTTTACTGGATTGATTACAATTTGAACATGATTTGTGTGGACTGATAGGGTTTTTTTCATCTCATGGCCTTTGTTGAGCTCTCTTGACAGTGAATGCTATCTATCAGCTACTGTAAAATCCTGTTTCAACATCCTTTGTGCACTGTGTCCTGCCCAGTTATTACAAAATACATACATACAAGGGGATTTACTGCTGATGGTAAAAGGTTAAATCATAACAGGTCTTACTGCTCCACCCATTACTGGTCCTTAAATTCCAC